TTTTTTTTTTTTTTTTTTTCTTCCCCCTTTGCTGGTGGTTCGGACATTTAATGTATTGAATGAACTGGAATTGCTTTCCGTGTGAGGAGGATGGTTGCTGTTACTTTGTGATGAGATCGGGAATGAATTGCTCGGTTTAAAAATGCTGCTTTGGATTCTGTTGCTGGAGACGTCTCTTTGTTTTGCTGCTGGAAACGTTACAGGGGACGTTTGCAAAGAGAAGATCTGTGCCTGCAACGAGATAGAAGGGGATTTGCACGTAGACTGTGAGAAAAAGGGATTTACCAGCCTGCAACATTTCACCGCCCCAACTTCCCAATTTTATCATTTATTCCTGCATGGCAATTCCCTGACTCGACTTTTCCCTAATGAGTTTGCTAACTTTTACAATGCGGTCAGTTTGCACATGGAAAACAACGGTTTGCATGAGATTGTTCCTGGGGCTTTCCTTGGGCTGCAGCTGGTGAAACGCTTGCACATAAACAACAACAAGATCAAATCGTTCAGGAAGCAGACTTTCCTGGGGCTGGACGATCTGGAATACCTCCAGGCAGATTTTAATCTGTTGCGGGATATTGACCCGGGAGCATTTAGGGACTTAAACAAGCTAGAGGTGCTGATTTTAAATGACAATCTCATCAGCACCTTGCCCCCCAACGTGTTTCAGTATGTGCCGATCACCCACCTCGACCTCCGGGGAAACCGTCTTAAAACCTTGCCTTATGAGGAGGTCCTGGAGCAGATCCCAGGCATTGCTGAAATCCTGCTAGAGGATAACCCCTGGGACTGCACTTGCGATCTGCTGTCGTTGAAAGAATGGCTGGAAAACATACCTAAAAACGCTTTGATCGGCAGAGTGATTTGTGAAGCTCCCACTAGGTTGCAGGGCAAAGATTTAAATGAGACCACAGAGCAGGAGCTGTGTAAAAAGAACAGAGTAGATTCCAGCCTAGCTGCTCCCCCTGCCGAAGAAGAAACCTGCGATCCTGGTCCCATTCCAACCCCCTTTAAAATACATGGCAAAGAAGACCCTGCCACACCAGGATCTGCTCCAAACGGAGGTACAAAGATTCCTGTCAACTGGCAAATCAAGACCAAACCCACTGCTGCCGTGTCGACAGTGAGTGCGAAGAACAAGCTACCCTCTACCTTTTCCTGCCCGCACATCTGCAGCTGTGATCAGATCCCTGGCTCAGGTTTAAAGGTTAATTGCAATGATAGGAATGTGAGCAGCTTGGTGGATTTGAAGCCCAAGCCATCCAATGTGCAGGAGCTGTTTCTGAGAGACAACAAAATACACACCATCAGGAAATCACACTTTCTGGATTACAGAAAACTTAATTTACTCGATCTGGGCAACAACAACATTGCCACCGTGGAGAACAACACCTTCAAGAACCTCTTTGATCTCCGATGGCTGTACATGGATAGCAACTACTTAGACACCCTGTCCCGGGAGAAATTCGCTGGGCTGCAAAACCTGGAGTATCTGAATGTGGAGTTTAATGGGATCCAGATGATCATGCCTGGCACCTTCAATGCGATGCCCAAACTGAGAGTCCTCATCCTCAACAACAACCTGCTGAGGTCTCTCCCAGTAGACGTGTTTGCCGGGGTCTCACTTTCCAAGCTGAGCATACACAACAATTATTTCATGTACCTCCCGGTGGCAGGGGTGCTGGACCAGCTCACCTCCATCACCCAGATCGATCTGCACGGCAACCCATGGGACTGTACTTGCCCTATCGTGCCTTTCAAACAGTGGGCGGAGATGCTGCGCCCCAAGGTGATTATGAGTGACCTGAGGTGTGAGTCCCCTGAAGATTTCTTCAAGGAGGATTTCGAGTCTCTCTCCAACGACGTGATTTGTCCTCAGTTAAAAATCTCACCCACATTAACTTCTACTAACAAAAACAGCACCGGGTTGACAGAGACAGGTACTCACTCCAACTCCTACTTGGAGACCAGCCGGGTCTCTATTTCGGTGCTAGTGCCAGGGCTTCTGCTGGTTTTTGTGACCTCTGCCTTCACAGTGGTTGGCATGCTGGTTTTCATCCTGAGGAACAGAAAACGGTCCAAGAGGAGGGACGCCAACTCCTCTGCATCTGAAATCAACTCCTTGCAGACGGTCTGCGACTCGTCCTACTGGCACAACGGGCCCTACAGCGCCGACGGGGCCCACAGGGTGTACGACTGCGGCTCCCACTCCCTGTCGGACTGAGGCGGCGGGCGGGGCGGGGGCGGCCGCCACCCGGGACC